CTCCTCCCCCTCCCCTCCCCCTTCCACTCTCTCTGAAAAACAATGGAAAAAAGATCTTCGGGTGACGCTTAAAAACAAATAAACAAAAAAACCACCTCTCCTTATAATAAGTGCTACCAATTTTCTTTTAATATCCCCAAGCAGCATTTATTTACCCATTGAATTCCAAAACATTTAATTTAGAAGTCTGGCATTTCAATAATTACCCATCTTGATTGACATGGGCTGACACACAAGGACAATAGCCAAAGAGTTACAAAGAATAAATCCATGGTTCTTAAACAATTGCACCACCCCTCCACTAAAGTTACAGGTATCAAAACTTTAGATGCATTGCATTGAAAAGGTTTGTGCACATCATAATTTAAAGAGGCATACAAGACACTACTGAAACCTTACTTTAACAGTTTATTATAAAGCGGATGGAAAGGAGCAAGTGTTCTCTTTGTATCAGCTTCCCTTAACAGTTTTCCATTCACTGAACAAAGAAGTGGGAGGGGTGTATTCATTTTTACATGTACAATATGTACACTGCTTATTAACAAAACACTAAATGGGTTATTTAAATATTGTAGCCTGTTTTGGCTAATTCTTTTTCCGAAACTTCTCCATTGCTTTTGCCTGGAATTCACAACTATCAAGAGGCATAGTAAAATGCCTCATTCAGAACACACTTGTCTCCACAATTTGAAAAGAAAACTCCTGTGGGCTCAAAGCAACCATCATTCCAGCAATGCCCATGAAGATTTATCTGAAACTGCTTCCCAGGGGGCAGGGGAGCAGAGCTGATTAGCTGTGCTGCCAAGATAGATAGGTTTAGCACTAGATATTTAGGGATTGTGGCAAGGAAGAATTGGTGATGGGGGGGTTGTGGGTGAACGAAAGTCCAGAGACCCAAAGGCTCTTCAGTAGCCTTCTGCTTCTTCATCGTGCTGCTTGCTCATGTAGAGGGTGAGGTTGTCTCACAAGTGCTACCAGTTTTCAACAACAACATACTTTTAAGAATCAAGAAAAAAAATAATGCCACTTGGAAGGAAAGACAATGGAAACCTTCTTTAATATAGATTTATAAGTGATAGGGTCCAGGCTCTCTAAACAACTTTGAAATATTTTGTTTAAAAACAAATTGTTTAAAAACAAATTATTTGATTGTGGGTGGACAATGGTGAGGGCAGGTGGGAGATCATGCCACTTCACTGCCACTATGATGCCTCCTGATTTAAGACCCTGCTAGTTACCTCCCCTGCACCATGCAGGAGCTCAAGATCCTCCAGTACACCAAGCGGTGGGCCCAGCATAGTGCCATGACCAGCGTGGGCAAGGGTATGGTGGCTAGGCTCAGTCTCGAGCTGCTGTTTCTGGTGCTGCTTCTACCCACGCAGATTTATTCGCATGTTCCTTTGACCGGCACACCAGAATGTCTTGAAACCACAATGTTATCCAAATGTGCTTTGCCATTAACAGCCAGTCTCCATGCGGTATTGTTTGCTCTTATACATCTCTACGTTTAAGAGACTCAGACTAAGAAATATCTACAGTTCACCAACCCATATTCTATAGCCCAATCCATATGGCATCTTGAAGTCCAATGTGGCAAAGAAAAACAGGTCTTTCTCAAATCTACTAATTTCTAATCTAAAAATGCAGAAAATGTTGAGAATCTCACATTGGATTGGTTTAAAGAATATCTGTGGGTTTGACTATGTAATGAATACCAATGGTAAATACGCTGTAGTTTCACGTATAAGAATGAAGAGAGAGACAACAGAAAATTAATGATGTGATTAAATGTAGCTTATAAGTTTTAAGTATGGACACCTAAAACTTTACCTTGAAAGTAAGAATAATTTCACCTGGATCTAGAGAAAAAGGATTAACTGTAAAGTGGAGAGTCGGTTTTCACTTTGCTTCATTAAATCTAGAATGCAGTAAAATGATTAGGTAATATAAAGAGCTTCTGTGATTTCATTTATATGTACATTGGTTACTATAAATCCTTTGTATTTCAGCAATCCTAATTTGTTAAATTTTTTTTTGTTTTTTATTGAGACTTTAGAGAAAGGGAGGGAGAGAGAGAGAAACATCGATGTGAGAAACATCAATTGGTTGCCTCCTGGTCGAACCCACAACCTGGGTATGTGCCCTAATCAGAAACTGAACCCACCACCTTTCAGTGTATGGGATGATGCTCCAACCAACTGAGCCACACCGACCAGGGCATCAGCAGTCCTAATTTAATGTTGACATGTTCTACATAAAGTTTCGGTTTTTTTAATATGTCTTTATTGATTTTAGAGAGAGGAAGGGAGAAGGAGAGATAGAAACATCATTGAGGAGAGAGTCATTGATCAGCTTCCTCTCACACCTCCCCCACTGGGGATCAAGCCTGCAGCCCAGGCATGTGCCCTGACCAGGAATCAAACGGCCATCTCCTGGATCAGACCATCTCCTGGATCATAGGTCGATGCTCAACCCCTGAGCCACTCTGGCCAGGCTACATAAAGTTTTACACTGTTACGTTTTCACTATTCTCTTGGGAACTTAACTCTTTCCTCTGGGCCTTTGAATTTGACATAGAGTTTGACTTTAGGTCGTAATTGACATGTGCCAGGGCAATGATGGATTTGAATCTACTACAAATCTAACCATGAGTAATTCTTGCATATACACTTAAAAGTCTAATGACAGACATTTCCTATCACATATTTCCCTCCAATAGGAGTGCAAGATTTTTTAAGATAACTTGGATCGCTTAAATTGATTCCAAAGATTAGAAGTGCATTAATATCAATCATTCTTAAAATACTGCTTTTTATTTCTGCATATGCTGGATAATTTTTACAATTTAAAAACTTAGCTGTTTACAATTTAATAACTTAGCCGTTTCTTAAATCTTGAAATTAAGAGACAAATATATGAAAGAGACAAAAATAATGTATATTAGGTATTTGGGAAGTGAAGACTAGAAACTTGCCTGCGTTAAATTTACAACTCTTTTGTGCTTTTTTTGTAAATATTTTAAAAAAGCTTTATAAATCAGAATAGCTACATTTGGAACACTTTCTATACCAGTCAATGTATTTAAATTGTTAGAATCTGGTCTAAGTGTACTTGGTTCTGGAAATTAAAACTTTTTACAACTGCTTTGATATACAAAAGCCTTTTTAGAAATAGATACTCCATGAAATCTTTGGTTCACATGTCACATTCTGATGTTTAGATATTACAGTATACAGCATGGCCATAGTATTCTTAAGTCTTAAGCCAGTATTTGCCATCTTTAATTTTTCATATTTTTTATTGAGTTTATTGGGGCAATGTTGGTTAATAAAATTATATAGGTTTCAATTCTATAATACATCATCTGTATATTGTATTTAGTTCACCACCCCAAGTCAAGTCTCTTTCCATCACCATTTATAACTTTGTCTACCTCCCCCCTAATATTTGCCATCTTAAGAAACCTAAACAGGAACAACCAGATCCAATAGATAGCAAGCTATATGAGATCTGTGTGTGCGAACACTCTTTTTTGCTTTATATCTGAACACTGTACATCTGTTTTGGTTTGTATTTTGTGTTTGGAACTTACTTGCATTTAACACAAGCTAAATAAAAATAAATGGCTGAAAGAGCAATTAAAACAAAGTATTTGACATATAAAGTGATTTTTCTGCATATAAAATTTTAAGAATTATTCAATACTGTTCATAAGGTCATTTAGTTAATGGTTACTGAGCTCTTACTATCTTAGGAGATATGTAAAAAAGAATGTCAAACTCTGGAGCAGTAACTAAATTTTGGACTTTGTTGCTATATCACTATTATTGTTTTTTGGTTTTAATAAAAATCAACAACCAAAGGGATAAATTTTGGAGAGAGCCTTTACTATATATATATATATATATCTATCTTTATTTATTTATTTCAAAGAGAGGAAGGGAGAGAGAAATATCAATGGTGAGAGTCATTAATCCAGTGCCTCCTGCACGCCCCCTGCTGGGGATCAAGCCCGAAACCCTGGGCATGTGCTCTGACTGGGAATCGAACCTTGATCTCCTGAATCATAGGTCAGTGGGCAACTGCTGAGCCACACCAGCTGGGCTTTAATTGATTTTTTTAGAGAGAGGAAGGGAGGAGGAGAGGGAAATATTGCTGCCTCCTGCACGCTCCCTAGCAGGGATTGAGCTCTCAATGGTGGCATGTGCCCTGACCTGGAATCCAACTGGCAGCCTTTCAGTGCACAGTTCGCTGCCCAACCAACTGAGCCCCACCGGCCAGAGCAAGTCTCTTTCTTAAATTGGCCTTTGTTTAGGAAAGTTGTAATTACCCTTTTATTGATAGTAAATCAATAGATTAACTATTAATAGTAAATAGTAAGCTATCAGTTTATCAGAATCACTTCTGCTATTAACTCTCTAGTTCATAATCTGGAATATGACAACTCCTATGGCTTTTTCTCACAAAGGCAGGGTAAACTCCATCAGTTGCATGGGGAAGAGTCAGACTCAAGAAAGACTAGCTACTTAAAACCTGAACAGAACCATGATACCTAAACTAAGCCCTTGCTAAAAGGAACTTTGGTTCATGATAGTGTCCACTTGTTATCTTGATTAAATTTCTAGGAAAATAAAATGAAGACCTGTCCATAATCTAGTAGGTGAGTCAATGATGATCTCATACTGAGAATACCTTCGTTTTAGCATCCTTCTTTCACTACCTAGCTCTGTGATCATTCAGCTTACTAGATCTAATTTGAAAACTGATTATTTTAGGATAGATCTCACAAATTTTCATCAGCTCTAAAAAGAATTCTGATTTATGATTACATTTTTTACTTTTTTCCTATAAAAAGTGTAATGAGTACTAACGGCATTGGGATAATGTAACTCATTTTTCAAAACTTATAACTACCATATGCCAGCTTAAACATTTGGTTTTCTTCTAACTAGGTAATATATTCATATGGCTCAAAAGGGTATACAGTCAAATATGACACTTGCTGTTTTCTCTGCTCAAATGGGTTAAGTTTTTTTTGCTTTTTACTATCACAAAGTTCTTGCTGATGGATTTAATTCCACTTTTATCATCCATTTAACATTTTGAAAGAAGATGCTATAGAAACAGATTTCTTTTTTGATACAAATGGCTACATATCCTAAAGAAGAAACACCAATTCTGTAAATTAACAGACAAAATAAATTGTGAAAAATTTTGTTTTAGCAGTTGGAATTTGTAGGTGTTTGTCAATTAATGGTTTTTTCCCCTCTCATTTCCAGTCACTTGACCAGACACACCGCACTATTAATGTTCTCAATTTATAGTTTGTAACTATTTTTGTTTAGTTTTTGAAAGTTGATTCTATTGAAGTTTTCTGTTCTTTCCACAGAGTACGTCCTTTGCCACCTGATGACGCAGATGATGAAAAAGAATAGAACTTTTTTATTCATCTTTAACTAATGTCTCCTGTTTACTCTGGTATTCTAGGATGTAAATTTGCATAAATGTATTTGTTCCAGTTAGCTTTGTTGACTAGGCATTCAATTAAAAAAAAATGAGGGTTACGTAGTTATTCAAAAGCAAGTAGTTATGATATTGGAAGGTTTATGAGATAATTATGGTTACTTACCTTAGTATTCAGTGTTTGGTTTCTTTTACTTGTTATTAAGATTCTTGTTCTTGCTAAAAAGAAATCATTGCATGTATACAACAAATCTGTATTTGAGATTTGCTTAGATCTTTGTACTGCTGCCATTTTTATTGGCATTAGATTTTTGGGGATGGTGCCATATTTTCACTGCTTTTATTTGATTTAAAAAGCAGAGTTATATTTCTGCACATTTAAAAAAATCAGTATTAATTAAACTGCACCTATATCCTTTTTAAGAATTAGGGCCAAAGATACAATGTTGAAAAAATTTGATGGCTGTCTTCTTAGAAAAATGTAAGGGCAATTTGATCCTGAGGGTTTCAGGCAGAAAGATTTCATAGACTATATTAAAAGAGAAGATTTTTCTTAGAATATGCATTTGATTTGGTATGATAAAATATTACCCTCTGGAAAGCAATGAAACATGAAAGGCAAATCATGCCATAAACCCAGAGCTCTCTAAAGTTCTTAGAGCTACCATTATGTTTTTCAAGACAACGGAGGTATAATTGAAGAGGTGGGTATAATATTAATTAGTAACAGTAATTCTTGCTTCCTTGTCACACTTTTTTGCTTACTGACATCTGTTGTCAAAATTAACCATGTTTTAACAGATATGTTTGCCTGAAGTTTGTTTTTAATAAATGCTTATTTTCACAATAGATTATATCCATTTGTGTGCTTCCGAAGATTACATTCTACTAGATTCTTCTGTTTTATTGCTTCCAAATACAAATCAGTGCTTTGATCTGATTTTATCACCTTCCAAATTGAGTCCTGATTACTCTAGATTACATTTTTTGCTTTGTCTTTTAGAGGTCGATATTAAGCAGAATGTTACTAATTGCGAGTAGAGTTTTATCCTAAGCACTTCCTAGATAATTAGACTTATTAAGAAGTAGTTCAAATATATACTCTGTTAAAATCAAGTTTTGATGGGCCTGAAACCTGATTTGTTATTTTTCACTGATGGAGAGAGAAACTTTTTTGGTGGTAGGTCCCATGAAGTATAATTTTGATATGTAATTGTTTCTAAAAAAAAATTTGATCTAATGAAACTACAGTCTTCTCCAATATACATTTGATGATGTCTTACTTTTATTAGGTAGAATTGTCCCATATAATGTTTTTTTGTCAAAGCTTTATGAAAATGTAGATTGGCAATTTAGCCTCTTCTAAACATAAGGGAAGTATAGACTCTTTCTATTGAAACTGAATAAAAAAATAAAACTTAACACATTAAAAAGATACTTAAATTAAGTAATTTTGTACCCTTCTTCACAAAGCTAATCTGAGTCTCCCCTTTGATTGGATTATTCAAATTGTTAATGCTAGTGTTAAATACCTGGCCAAACAATGAATAAAACTGCTTTTCTGGAATTTTTGACTGATAGAACATTGTTAGGGTCATGCATAGTTTGTGTTTTAAATAGTTTTACAAAGGAAAAGCAATACTATATCCAAAATTATAAAGTGTGCTCAAAGAATTATTTGGAAGATGACAAATGCTTGTCATTTTTTAAAAATCAGGAAATAAAGCCTAAAATAGCTGAACTGTCATGTATGTATATGTACACTGCTTACAAATCTCAGCGTATTTAGAATCCTTCAGGCTAACTCACTTTTAGAAAAAATTTAAGGTTCATTTTTATGAACCTTAAGGAACCTTTAAGGAACATTGTTATAATGGTTCCTTTTACCTTTGAGGATAGCATATGGAAGTGGGAGCGATTTTTACTAACTCAAAACTGGGAGGAATTTTAGAAGTCATCTTGTTCAACCTCAGTTACAGCTGTTCACTAGGGGGGACTGTTTTATTGGTTGGCAACTCTTTGGGTTTTTGTTTGTTGTTAGTTTGTATTGATTTTTAGAGAGAAAGGGAGAGGGAGAGAGAGAAACATCAATGTGAGAGCATAAAGGGGATCAAGCCTGCAGCCTGAGCATGCGCCCTGACCAGGAATTGAACCAGTGACCTATCGGGCGATGCTCAACCAGCTATGCCTCACTGGCCAGGGCTTCAACTCTTAATTGTGAAAAACATTATGAATTAAAATTTTGAATTTTTCTAACTTCACTCTTCCTATTCTTGGTTCTGTCCTTGACATAACACAGAACAAATTATTCCTTCCACATGACAACCTTTAAGTATTTAAAGATAGCTGTTACATTTTTACAACCTTTAAGTATTTAAAGATAGCTGTTACATTTTTAGCTTTCTCTTCCTAAGGCTAAACATTCTATTGTTTATGTCACACATATCCTAAGTTAGTTTCTCTAAGTCCCTTGTGTGAGGGGCTATGTCTTTTGTATTGTATATTGCTTAGGCACATAAATAATAAATTTGGCTACATTTCTTGTAACTGATCCAAGTAGTCATTAATTTTAGACTTTAGTTTTTGTATCTTTCATATTGGGGGATGCCAATGGAACTCTAAGAATATTTGAATATTAATTACTCTAGGAATATTTAAATATTCATTATTGCACAACAGAGTTATGTTTCCCAAAAATAAACATTAGATACCCTAATTCTTTCTTAAATGATTATAGGGAGCAATAAAAAATGAAAAGTTTTTAAGAACTGAGAAAAGGCTGGAGGTCATATCTACAGGATGAAGGTATTATATAGACTTTCAAGGCTATTTGAGATCTAGTCTAGATGTGAGAGCACTGTTTTAGTTATGGTTCATATTAAAAATGTGGATTTCTCTTGTACTGCTCACAAAATCCTGTAAGTGTAGTTAAACCCACATAGCTAGTTTTAGGTGTGGATTGTGCTCTTCATCTTTAGAGATCTCCAAACAATGACTATATTGAAAATGATAGAATAATAGACCATTTAGGAGTCAAGCCAGTTATTCATATACCTATAAAAAAGTGACTACTACTACTGAAACTGTAGGAAGAGAGGATCTGAATGAATACTATCATATTTCTTCAGGCAATGGAAAAAATGGATGGTGCATAGGAATTTGCATTTCTATATTGGCCTAAACTACCACATTTAATCTTAACTATTAATTTTACCCAAGAAAACATTTCTTCCTGTAGAACATGTTTGCCATAATGTTTAAAAATTTTTAGAGACAGGTAAGTCCACTGTAGTTTTAGATTAGTCATTGTTCATTGGGCTCATAGTTTTACTTTTCTAACTTAAACTTTTAAAATAAATTGTTGGCAATTAAAATACCAAGCTCTAGTTTGTTATGGTAATGGTTTATCACTTGTCACTTACAGCCAGGTTTTTTAAAGAACAGTTAATTATTGGATGTCCTCAGATTCTATTTGAATAATGTGTGTATATGTTCACATGTATGCATGTCCATGAGAAGGGTTGTAATGTTTTAGACTTATTAAATAACTTATTACTGACATTTTAATCTCAACTGATTTCCTAAAGGCTTTGCTGGACTGTCTAGGGTGACTCAATTTAATGCTCTCCCATGTGTACAAGAAACCTACAGACATGTTGTTTCTTTTAAAGTTACCAAAGCTCATTTCCTCTGCACTAGCTGAGGTGGACAACAGTCCATTATTGATGACTAAGAGGTTATCATGACCAATAAAATCAGAGCCGAAATTGAAAGTACATTCACTGCCATGGAATAGAGAACAAATTCAGTAGCTACTCCCAAGCTTTACTGCTTTTAAGCAGACCTATTTAAGATAGGAAAGTAAAGATTTTTACTCATTTTTCTCTGAATGTCGAACTACATTTCTCTGAATATTTAACTGCTACAATGATATACGTCATTTTTCTAAAGAGTATTAATTATATTGCTGGCTCTTACCCCAACCAGTAGTTTTCCCCAAATTTTCAAAGCCTAGATCACCCCGACACAAGAATAAATGAAGTTTTTTAGTATCACTTTTCTTGTCCACAGTGTAGGTATGAAAGTTTTTTGGTTTATTTATTTTATTTTATTATATTTTTTTATTTTATTTTAGAGAAAGAGAGGAAGAGAGAGTAACATTGATTTGTTGTTCCACTTACTTATGCACACATTGGTTGATTTTCATATGTCCAGACCTGGGATGGAACCCCCAACCGTGGCTCTGGGGGCGACGCTCTAACCAACTGAGCAACCTGGGAGGGCTGAAAGTTTTCTTCTGAGTGGAGGATTAAATTTCTTCCCCTTCCCAAGCTTCACTATGAGCTTCCTTTGGCCTTTTCTCATTGCTTTTCTTTTAAGGATTAAAATCACGCCACTCGATTTACAGCGAATCTTCATTTTCCCTTTTCATTTAACTAGGTTATTTCCAGGTCATACACAAACATGTACAACCCTTATCAAATGATAGGCGAAGACAAAACTTTTTACCATGCCGTTTCGGAGCTGTCAAAGGAGAACGAAGTGCAGTAGAAAGCCTTCATAACATTGAAGATTTAAAAAACCCAATTGAAACACAACTGAAAATCCACAAGAGGGAGATGCTAACCTGCCAGAAAAGAGAACTCCCACTAGGAATCCGAGAGAGAGCCTTAAGAGGAGCCAACGGGTCGGCCTGGGACTCAGGGTCGAAGGAAGCAGGTGTTCATAGTGGCTGAAGGGAAAAGCAGGATGGGCTTTGTGACTCCGACTGCGAAGCGTGTGCTCCGTCTAAGACTAGGGGCAGAAGGTAGAAGGGTGTTGTCAGAGAGGAGCACGCGCTCCCAGCTGCCTCCCGATCGTCGCAGAAGAAATGGGGGTGTTGTCTTTGAGGCACTTCCGCTTAGCAACTCCACGCGGTTGCTAAGGAGGGGCCGTAGCAGGGATGACCCGGAAGTGGTGGTGTCCATTTCTCGCTGCCTGCTTTAAGCTTGTCCTATCCCGAGCGCCCGGGTGCTTTGCGCCAGGCTGAGGGTGGGGCCAGCGCTAGTGGTTCCGGCTCGGCTTCTGCCGCCCCTAGGCTCCTCGCCTTCCCCCTCCCCTCCCACACCTCTCCTCCCTCGGGTTCCTGGGAAAGAGAGAAGCCACCACTGCGGGTGGGTAGAAAAGCGCTTGGCTCTTCTGGGAGGGGACCGCGCCCGCCCCTTCTGAGCTCGGGAGCGCCGCCAGACCAGGTACTCGTTCAGGCTTCGACCAGGTCCGGGAGGTTGGAGCCTGAGGTGGGTGTGTGTGTGTATGTCTGTGGGGGCTGGTGGGGGGCCCTTCTCCTGGTCGGGAAGGGGACGCCGAGATCTGGGGTGGGGCGCAGGCCCGCGTGTGTCTCTGTGGAGGGTTGCGGGGGTGGAGAGGAGGGACTGGTGGACACCGCCGGCGGAGAGTTTCGGGTGGCTGCGTGAAGGTTGCGGAGGAGGCGCCCCCTTGGATGCTGAAGACTTCAGCCGGTGTGGATCGGGAGTTTGCCACCTGGAGGACTCTTCCCTGAAAGGGGGAGCATCCTCCGCGGCCAAAACGGGGGGATGGACCTTGGCAGGGTGGTTGGGGCAATCGAAAGCTTCCAATGCCTGCTTCCTCTGCTCCCCCCGGCTGGGGCATAGCCCGGTTTTGAGTTTTTTGGGGGGTTGTGAGTCGACTGGGCACCGTGGGGAGCCGCCCTTGGCGGAGCTAGGGCAGAAGAGTGGGTAAGGAGACCTCCCTTCACCCAACTTCCGTGCGCTTCCCCCACTTCTTCCTTTACTGCCCTTGCCCCAGCGTCGTACAAGAGCTGTATCCCCCAAGTGGGCATCTATCACAGCGTAAAAGAGTGGAACTGGGTTTGTTGCCTCTAAATGATACTTCAAATGTTTGGAAAGTGTCAGAATGGCATACTCAACCATGTCTCCCAGTTATATATTAAATCGTATAAATTATCTTAGAAAAGTGCAATTCTGAAGAGCACCAAACTATAGGCTAGTCCGGCATAGTCTTGTTTGGTGGATATTGGTGTTTATAAAAAATAGGCTAGAAGAACCGTATAGATATAGAGGTCTAGGGGAGACATGTTGAGGCAAGCCTTTTCCAACTTCTTTTCTACCTGCCAGTAAGCCCTGCCCTAGTTTAAATGAAGCAGAACGATGCTTTTCATTTTTATTTCAGTGACTGAATTGTAAGTACTGTGTGGTGATGTCTTAGGGTAGAAATGTTCAGAGAGACAGCATTGTCTGCTTTTGAGCCTGTCTCTTAATCTTTTAAGCAGATAATTGTGGTCCAGGGGAAGTTTTAGCTTTGAGGTAGGTGAATCTGGGATTGAACCCAGGTTGCCACTGGCTAGTTGTTGACCTTGGGCAAGTCATGGAACCTACCAGAGATTCATTTTCTTCATAAGTAAAATGAGTTAAAATTCTTACCAGTATTGTAAATAAATGGAATCACCTTCTGATTGAAAGATGAATTATCATTAATCTTACACAGTCAAGGTAGCCCAGTTTCGTGGAATGAGGTTTGAGATAGGAAGGAAATTGAAAGTAATATTCCAAAACTTGCAGTGATTTATAGAAATTGATCATAAGTAGCGTGAAATTCAGTTATCAATAGTTTCTTAAAAAGCCGAATACATGCATTTATTCAAAAGACCAATAATGTTTCAAAGGTTTTCTCAGGTTTGTGATGTGTGTAGTGTGAATTGATAAGAAAAACATTTAAAAAGTAAATTATGTAAATTTCAGTTAACATCCCAGGTCTCTGAAGAGAATTAAAATTGAGGTATAAAATAGAAAGTTGTAATTTAAGATTAAAATCAACATCAGTGGCCTGACTCATATTAATTAGATTTAAGCCATTAGCAAAACTTACAGAATTCTTGTATGTATAATCTGTAAAATAAATGAAAGTGGAATGAATTTTTGCCTTTAAATCATTCATGATGAGAATATAGAAATAAACCTCGGGAACATGAAGTCTTTATTATTTGTTTCTTTTATAGTTTTAAAATGATAGCTATATGTATCCTATTGTATGTCAGATTTTCAGCTACTATAGTTTGCATTCTGATGTAACTTGTAGTTAGTACTTTTAAAAAAATGTTTTTATTGATTTTAGAGAGAGAAGAAGGGGAAGAGAGAGATAGAAACATCGATGAGAGAGAAGCATCATCAATTGGCTGCCTCCTGCATGCGCCCTACTGGGGATGGAGCCCCAGCTGGGCATGTGCCCTGACTGGGAATTGAACCAGGGACCTCTTGGTTCATGGGTCAGTGCTCAGCCAACTGAGCTACACCAGCTGGGCTGTACTTTCTAATTAAAAAATTTTTTTAAAATACATTTTTATTGATTTCACAGAGAGGAAAGGGAGAAGGAGAGAGGGAGAGAAACATCAATGATGAGAGTCATTCATCATCTGCCTCCTGCATGCCCCCTACTGGGAATCAGGCCGGAAACTCAGAGCATGTGCCCTGACTGAGATTGAACCATGATTTCCTGGTTTATGGGTTGACGCTCAACCAGTGAACCACACCATCCGAGTAGTACTTTTTAATTTTTAAGTGTACTTTATACTCAAAAGATAAAAATCAAGTAACTTACTTTGATAATAGTTTTTTTGTGTGTGTGTGAAAAGTGGAAACAAAGTTTGTAATTCAGCCCTAGCTGGTTTGACTCAGTTGTTGGAGTGTTGGACAGAGGACAGAGGGTCCCGGGTTCGATTCCTGCCAAGGGCACTTGCCTCGGTTGCAGACTCGATCCCTGAGGCAACTAAATGATGTGTCTGTCTCGCACTGATCTTTCTCTCTCTTTCTCTCCCTCTCCCTTCCACTCTCTGAAAAGCAATGGAAAAAATATCCTTGGGTGAGGATTAAAAAAAAAATATAATAAGGTCATTAAAAAAAAAAGTTTGTAATTCAATATCACTTTTTAAAATATATATATATTTATTGATTTCAGAGAGAGGAAGGGAGAGGGAGAGATAGAAACATCAATGATGAGAGTCATTGATCAGCTGGCCTCCTGCACGCCCCCTGCTGGGGATTGAGCGTGCAACCCGGACATGTGCCCTGACCCGGAATCTAACTGGGATCTCCTGGATCAAAGGTTGATGCTCAACTTCTCAGTCAAGCCTGCCGGGCTCAGTATCACTTTTTAGAGAGGTTTATTGATCTTCCATAATTTAGAGAGAAAATTTCAAATTTATTTGTCTCCATGTCTCTTTTAAATAGGGTTGAATTAAAAAAAAACACACAGCCCAGCCGGGTATGGCTCAGTGGTTGAGCATCGACCTGGGATCCAGGCGATCGGGGTTCGATTCCCGGTCGGGGCACATGCCCCGGTTGTGGGCTCAGTCAGTGACTCTCCCATCACTGGTGTTTCTATCTCTCTCTCTCTCCCTCTCCTTTCCTCTCTCTGAAATCAATAAAGATATATTTTTAAAAAAAAACACAAAAAACAAACAAAAAAACACACAACTCTGATAAAAGTCTCCAACTATATTGCATGCTTCTTGAGGTAGAAATACTATTTTAAATTTTATCCACCACTGCAGCTACATAATAAGCAATAAATATTGGTCAAATTGATAAATGGATGGATATATTTAAGTTTAATTTATATTTTTGGTAGTTGTAGTGTTTTGTAACATTATTCAACTTTCTAAATGGCTTGAGTGTAAAGTCGTTAGTGTATCTTTAAGTTTTTAGCTGTGTTTTCCTGGATCGTTTTCATCATCTTTCAATCTAAAATTTGAAGCCATATTATCTTATTTTGTTGGTAAAGCTATCAGAAGCTTCCATTTTCCACTGTCTTCTTATAAAATGTTAATAAACCATGTATTATGGTATAAGAGGATACTAGCTGTTAGAGTAAAAAGATCTATGTAAAGTATAGGCAACAATAGAGATTGTTAGAGGTGATACTTTTCTCAATGACCTTTTCCACTCGAAGTGCGTGGCTGTTCCAAGGATCTTTGCAGTTGTCAGTTATGGAATTTGCTTGTCAGGAAATCTAAAAATGGCTAAATCTTCCTTTAATATCCATCCCTTGGATGATCTCAGAAAGTTTTAGGAAAGATTGGGAAGGCTTATAGATACCATATACTAGAATCAAATAATGAACAAAATACAGTTAATTTTATTGGTGCTGCCAAATTAGGACTGAAAGTTACTGTGGAAATATTTTTAAAATGCCAGGCAATGCTTTACTAAAACCAAATGAGTATTCTTCCAGAGCTTGTTTCTATTTTAAAACTTTTTATTTTGAAATATGATGTGATCTTCTGTGATAAGGATAAATAATCACTGTCTCCAGAAAAAAAGGCTAATATCATAGACAATTTTAATATCACCAATCTTGATAGAAACTGCTTCAGTGGCTTCAGGTAAGTGGAAGTAGAGTTTCATAAAAGAACTTTAGAATTTGTCGAATGATTTTTTTTAAACATCTAACTTCTTTCTACTCATTTGTGCCTGGTATAAAAACTTGAGAAGCTGGGAGAAAAAAAATAATAAATTTATATCAGAATTACCATTTTCTTTTTTATTAATTTTTAGAGGAAGGCAGAGGGGCAAGGAGGGGGAGGGAGGGAGAGGGAAAGAAAGGAGGAGAAAGAGAGAAACACTGATTTGTTTTTTGTTTTTTTTTATCTATATATTGATTTCAGAGAGAGGAAAGGAGAGGGAGAGAGAGAAACATCAATGATGAGAGAGTCATTGATCGGCTGCCTCCTGCACACCTGCGACGGGGGATGGATCCCGAAACCCAGGCATGCGCCCCTGACCAGGGATTGAACCATGATCTCCTGGATCCTAGGCTGACGCTCAACCACTGAGCTACGCCCAGCCGGGGTATTGGTTGCTTCTTGTATGTGCCCTGACCTGGGATTGAACCCGCGACCTTGGCTTATAGAGATAATGCTCTAACCAACTGAGCCACCCGGCCAGGGCAGAATTACCATTTTCATTTTGGGAGATTACTTATTTGGAGAACTAAATTGGATTTTGACATTATTGGGATTGTGTTCAGGATGGACTCTGGAAAAAAAATTAGATACCATCTGTTTCAGATTTTTTATTCTCTCACCCTTTCATGTTTTGTGACTTTGAATTCATCAGATTATTTTTCAAAAATAAAAATCTTCAGATTTAGGTTATATAATTTGAGCTATATCAGTGAACATGTAAGTAAAAGAACTTGCATTTTTATACTGAGTTAC